CCACTACAGCTCCCTACTAGCATTTTAGGCTAAGTAGGAAATCATCGTGCCAACTGCCTTTAAACGATGGTTTCCTACTTAGCCTAAAATGCTAGTAGGGCGCTGTATAGTGGGGAAATGGCGAAAGAACGGAGTGAAACGGTCAAAATCCTGCGAAGAAAAAGCCTCCGTTCTCAGTGACTTGTAAATCGATTTCGGACGAGTTTCCCGTAGGCATCTTACCAATCACCGCTACCGAAGATACGGCTGCATATGTGTACCCATGTATGCATGCAGCATCACGGCCGCTTCATACCAATCCCTTCGCTTCATAATTTGCTTAGCAAATGAATGAATACGAGCGTCAGGAACGGTCGTCCATTTGTGGGCGGGCGGGCGTGGCGGGCGTTTGGGACGTAAAGTTGTGGCTTGATAGGGCCCTTATAAGGGCACCTTCCTTGGAATGAGAGGAATTCCCGACCCTGGGCAGGCGCTTCCTAGCGGGAAAACCGCTATGCAGCGCCTGCCCAGGGTCGCGGAATTCTATCCTGCCAGGAGTATTGATCCTAGTCGTCTTGGGGGATTTATCGTGCCAACTGCCTTTAAGGTAAATACGACTACCAGTACTATTCCTGTGAACATAAAAACGTTTACCAGATTCCATCAATACTTGAAAATCTGAGGATGTTTCTCTTGATAGTAACACACAATTGTTTGGCGGATCCATATGCAACTTCAGGAAATAAACAAATAAAAAAAACAAATAAGGCAGTTATTCTTCCTTTCTCCTACGTTTATGTGATTCACATGATTCGCGCAGTCGTCAGCGTCAACATTTGATAGATGGATGGTCATTTTTTTTCTGTGAGCTGCTGTAAAAGGTGACAACCAAGGAAAAATCAGAAAGTCGATCGTCCCTGAACACAAGACTCGATCCTGGATGATATCAATCTTTACCGTCCCTTCAATATCCCTATTCAAACGGCCAGACGCATGATTTGTCTTCTCGCCGCAAGGATGTCGCAGACCACGCCCACCAGCTGCACCGGACGATTCGGTTACTGCACACCCGGACCCAGCCAACATATCACGTATCAGAGGTTGAACTCGTGCCATCAAGAAGGTAAAGAATGGGAAGGTAGTGGTTCAGATGATATCCCTATCGAGGGATGGAAGTACGTCAGTCGCTCACATTAACGCAACTTTTCAACAAGGGCTTGGAAAAAGGAGCGATCCCGACGGACTGGTCAAAGAGTGTCACCGGGCTGATACATAAAAAGAAGAGAGATATTGCTAACTGCAGCAACTATCGACCGATTCGCCTGATGTGCCACACTTTGAAAGTTTTGAACGTGTGCTGGACGCCAGGCTGAGGGAAATAGTTAACATCAGTCGGATGCAGTGCGGATTTCGACCTGAACACGGGACCACAGATGCCATCCACGTTGTTCGCCGTCTGATGGAAAAGGCTAGAGAATGGAACAAGCCACTTCATTTGGCTTTTCTGGATCTGGAGAAAGCCTTCGACAGAGTGCCGCGTCAACTCATTTGGGAAGCTCTTCGGTATCAGATAGTTCCAGAAGCACTCACTGAGGCAGTTCAGCCAACTTACTTGATCTCTATAATCTCCGTCCGGACGCTTGTTGGAGACACCCCACAGTTCCCAGTTGCTGCTGCTATTCACGGAGGGTCGGCTCTTTCGCCACTGTTGTTCATTTGGGGTATGGGATACGCTACGAGGAGCATCAGGAAAAGCAGCCTCTGACATGCTGACGATGTACTGCTGATGGACAGATCCAAAGCGAAATCAGAACGGCGCGTCAATCGCTGGAAGAGAGAGTTTGCCAGCCATGGACTCAAGGCTCAGCATCAGCAAGACGAAGCACATGTGCGCAAACGCAACAACATCGTCAATCGTAGTCGATGGAACACCCCTCTCCAGAGCAACGACGTTTCCGTATCTCGGATCTACGCTTGCCGCGGACGGAGATGCCAAGGCCGACACCACTGCAAGAATCAACGCTGCATGGAGCAAATGGAGATCTGTTACTGGCGTTCTCTGTGATAAGAGAATGCCGATACGGCTGAAGTCAAAGATCTACACTTCAGTCGTGAAACCAGTCGCCATCTATGGAGCCGAGACTAAACAGATGACGGCTGAGGAAACAAGAGCCTACGGTGTTATGGAGATGAGAATGTTACGATGGAGTCTGGGACACACGCGACTCGACCGAATCCGCAACGAAACAGTGCCGATGCAAGATGAAGGTAGGGCTGATTCTCAACTCTCTTGCAGCATCTCGTCTCCGCTAGTATGGCCACTTTCAGCGAAGAACTTCTGATGTTATATCGAAGCCGCTGTTAATATCAATTTGCCGGTGGCCGAGCTATTAGAAAGAGGAGAGAACCTTGAGATAATCTGAGGACATAACTGCTGCTGGCCTGTCCGCAGTCGATGCTCTTTACACGGACCGTTGGTCAAAGAATCATTGTTGGACAGAGCGCTGGAAAAAGAAGAAAGAGAGTCCTTTACAGCAGCTAAATGCAATTAGTGTATCAAATGAATCACTCACAATCAGTGAACTACCAACAATTACTATATCACTTGTCGACTTGTGGATATTCTCGGCACAGCTTTTTCACTCATCTCCTGTCTAATTCCACTCTCTCTGGAGAGATACGGTCGCGTGGGATGGTTCTCGCATCTTGTACCTTACACACGCCCTATGATAGCCCTGTCCTCGGGGATGAGATCCTCGGCAACTGTCCTTGTGGGTACCAGCATGGTCATGGCTCCAACCTACACCTGCGTGGTGGGTATTCGCCTAGGCAGTGCTCGCACATCTGGCGATTATGAACAATCTCATCTTGTACCTTATCTTGCGTCTCCAATCACTACTTGTGGAGACTAAACAGAATAATGGTGCTCAACTCTTTCGCAGAAAGCAGACCCAACATTAGTGC